AACAACTTTGATCTTTCTTTCTTTCTCCCGTCTACGCCACGAATTAAGCAGTTGAAGAATGGATATATAGTGCAATGGCATTGATGAGTTCCAACATCATGACTCTGCCTTGTGACGTCTTGGTGGACATACTCTCTAGGCTTTCACTCAAACATGTCCACCAACTTCAAACTGTTTCAAAGTTATGGTTCAAAATCATCTCTAGTCCACATTTCAGAAAACTCTACAACATGAAATCCATGACTCGTCCTCGAGCACGTGTAGTTCAAGTACCTGACGCCAAGTTTTCACCGAGCTGGGAAATGATTAGTCGAACCATTATTATATCGGCTATGGACCTCAATATTGACAACAGTGAGATCCAGGAAGAGTTCAGTTTTGAGGATATTATGGCCCCTCAACATTCCTTCATCATATCATCCAATCTCATCATTTTCAATCACAAGGTATGCAATCCTACAACAAAAGAGATCATAGACATTCCAATATCAAGTCATCCATCAATTAGTTTCGATGCTACGTATATCCCATCCAACAATACATACAAGATTGTCCATTTATATGGTACCAAACCTGGCCATGACTACAACTTCAACTATGGTGGTAGCCCTCTAGAGTTCCGATTTGAGACTCTTACACTACGAGACGGAGGACCAATTCCTAGTTCTTGGAAAGCCCTGACACACCAAGAATGGTTTTCTAGTAAGATAGAGTCAACATGTGTAAATGGTGTAGTTCATTGGTTGCTTGAAAGAGGACCTCGAATGGAAAGGCGTATTATTTCAATGGATATTGAAAGTGAGGATTTCTTGAGTTCCGTTGGTTGCCCCAATAATCCATATGTGGAAGAGGCACCGATATTCGAGAATGTTCAGTTAGCTGATTTGAATGGGAGGTTATGTTTAGCTTACTACTCAGAAGAATTATTCAGGCTGGATCTATACTTTGTCAAGGATCGGACGAACCAAGAATGGGTAAAGGAGCATACTATCAATTTATCAGGTATGGGGAGTTGGTTCAAAATAGTGGGGTATGTACAATTACAAGGTAACAATGGAGACATTGTTATTGATGGTAAACAACTTATCCTCTACAACATTGAAGAGAATAGGTTTAGAAGTCTACCTAGGCCTAAAATGAAGATTCATATTGGCTTGTACTTTGATAGATGTTTCAAGTTAGAAAGCACAAAACTATCTATGCAACCAACTGTAGATTTTCTATCTAATTAATGGATCTTTGTATTAATGAACTTGTACTCTAAATGGATTTGAGTCTTCTACCAAGTGAAATTTTAGCTATGTAGTTCATTGAAAAGGGACGCAAAATGGTTGAAAGAGACATTGTTAAGGGAAAAGACATTGTAAAACCATTAACTTAGTCATATGGAACTGTGTCACCTAAGTAGAGTGAGGAGGTTTGGGTATCAAGAATCTAAATATGCAAATAGGAGTCTCTTGATGAGATGGTTGTGGAGGTTTAGGGGTCGTTTGGTAGCTGATTAGGAGGTAAATTGTTCATGTATTAAACTATTGCATAAGTAATATCATGTTTCGTAGCATTCTTTTATTATGTATACAATTAATATGGTGCTTGATTTGCAATATAGAAACCTGCATAACTAATATATGTATAAGTTATGACGAAATCTATGTATTATTTTATGACAGACAGAAGATAGAATAACTAGAACCTGCATAACTATTACATAGTATAACCACACAAATTCTGAAGATTGATAGATATATGTTAAAATGTTCCATAAAAATTTAGACAGTTACATAGATCAGCTGCATATCATTTAAAAAAAAGAAAGGCGCGAATCAATTCAGAGTATCTCACATTTTGAAGTCGTCTTTGATGGTAAATCTCTCACTCGTAATCGTTCCACTGCTGGCAATGGTAGTCTTGTTCTCTCTAATGTAAAACATCTATCATAATACAAGCAAGTATAGTTGACATTTGATTTTTGCAGCTTTCTTCCCCTTTTCTCTTTAATGTTGTAGCGGAAAGGCATTTTACCATTAATAAGGATGTCACCATTGTTGCCTTCAAGTGGTACATACCCTACTATTCTCACCCAATCCCCCATACCCGATAAGTTGATATCATATTCCTTGACCCATGTTTGGTTCGTAGTATGATCTTTGAGCAAGAACAGACTCATTCTTGACAATTCTTTCGAGTAGTAAGCTAAACAGAGTTTCCCATTCAAATCAGCTAACTGGCCTTGCCCAAATAGTGTATGATCATCTCCTTTAGGACAACTAATAGTCAAGAATTCTTCATTTTCACTTTCCATTGATATGATATGTGTCCCTTCCATCATTCTAACTAACCAATACATTACACCATCTACACATGTTGCATCAATCAAGTAAGAAAAGTATTCTTTACGCGCAACAGATTGCCAAGAGGTTGGAATTGGTCCACCATCTCTTAGTATGATAGACTCAAATCCAATCTCCAATACTCCGCGAGTACCTACTATTTTGTTACAACGAAATAGATGGACAATCTTGTATGTATTGGTAGAAGGGATATACGCCACATCGAAACAAAATGATGGATAACTTGAATTATTTGGTAAATTTATGATTTCTCTAGTCATGAGATTGCATACCTTATGTTGGAAAATTATGAGATTTGACGAGACACGAAAGGAATATTCACGTCTAACAATTTTAAAACTTAAATGATCTCTCTGAATCTTGATGTTGTCGCTAACAAGGTCCATAGTCGAAATTGTGATAATTCGACTTGTAGGTCCGAGGCCACTGGCTGAATATGTTTGATCAGATTCTTGAACAACAAGTGCCCGGGGACGAGTCATGGATTTCATGTTGTAGAGTATTTTGAAATGTGGAGTAGAGATGTTAGTGAGCCACAACTTTGAAACAGTTTGAAGTTGGTGGACATGTTTGAGGGGAAGTCTAGTGAGTATATCTGCAAAGACTTCACAAGGCAGATCCATGATGTTGGAGCTTAGATCCATACTAGTAGTAGCCATTTTCCCACTGATCTACGATCTAGAAAGGATAGAGAGAGATTAAGTTCATGTATCCACATCGCTACAGTTGAAAACTTGTCCAACTGTATATAAGTTTAAGGGTGTGTTTGGTGTGAAGGAAAATGTTTTCTTGGAAAACAAATGGATGTCTAATTTATTTTCTCATTTTTTGTTGGTGAGTAGAAAATATTTTTTAATGTTTGGTTGGTGGATGAAAATATTTTTCTGAAATATATCTTTTATTTTTGGCTTAAGACTAAAAATTATTTTTTTTAAAATTGAAATATTTCGCGGGGAGGAGGGGGGGGGGGGGTGTGGCGGCATAAAAAATTAAATTTTTTAAAATTTGAAATATTTTTCAAAACCAAGTTTTTTTAAAAAAAGTTTTTGATGGGGTGGCTTGGGTGGGTGGTGGGAAGGTAGGGATGGGGTCGGCGTAAAAATTAAAAAAAATTTGAAATATTTTCCAAAAACAATTTTTTCTTAATTTTTTTTTTGACAGGAATGGCCTGGGTGGGAGGAAGGGGGTAGGGGTAGGGGTGACGTAAAAATGAAATTTTTTGAAATTTGAAATATTTTCCAAAAAGGGATAGGGGTGGCATAAAAAATGATTTTTTTTAAAATTTGAAATATTGTTCAAGAACAATTTTTTTAAAAAAAGAATTGATGGGGGTGACTTGGGTGGGGGGAGGGGGTAGGGGAGGTGGCGTGAAAAATGAAATTTTTTTTGAAATATTTACCAAATTTTTTTTTTTTTAAATGATGGGTGGTGGAGGAGGGGGAAAGTGGCGTAAAAATTTAAAAAAATTTAATTAGAAATACTTTCAAAAGCAATCTTTTGGGGGTAGGGAGTAGGGGTGGTAGGGGTTGGGTGAGGTAAAAAAAATCTTAAAATTTGAAATATTTTTCAAAAATAATTTTTAATTTTTTTTTTGTTTGATGTGCAGGGGTGGGGTGCTGATTTGGTAGTAGGGATAAATATATATTTGAAATTTAAAACATAAGGAAATTTTAAAAAATATTTTTTTTAATGGGGAGGGTCGAGTACAGCGTATGTGTAGGGAAGAAAAAAAATTAAAGGATGAAGTAGAGTTTAGGAAAATGTTTTCCTTAATTTTGGAAGAGAAGTCATTTTTCTTAAATTTGAGGAAAATAAGTTGATTTGGAAAAAAATTCCAAACATTTAAACCAACCAAATATCGGAAAATTGAAAACATTTTCTAGAAAATATTTTCCTCTATACCAAACACACCCTAAGCATCTATTTGTGCTGCACCTATGACCTAACATTAAAGGACATTGATATCCATTAAGGCTAAAATAAAAGCACATTTATGTGTTATGTTATTTTTAAAGGTAGGTAAGACATGTCCATATAATAACATGTAAATACGCAAAAAGAGGGATTAGGTTGGTATATTGTATAAATAAACCGTGCCAAGTTGAGATAATCATATGTTCTGCCTTCTAAACTATCATCATAGTCATACTTAAAAAAAATAAAAATTGCTAATATCATAAAGCCATCGAAAATTTCCCATTAAAATAATTAAGCAACTTGGAAAAAAAAGTCAGAATTAGGGAGACAAAGACAACTTGCCTTATTTTCGAAAATAGTAAACTAATAATCCCCTTTATCGGGACAAAAAAAAAACCAACCTGATATAAAATATTACTCCCTCCGTTCTATTTTATATGACTTAGTTTGATTGAGTTTAAAAAAGAAATGAAGACTTCTGAAACTTATGATCTAAGATAAGTAATAGATAATTTTGTGGCTATAAATTATTTTATTAAAAATAAAATGAATATTTTAAAGTTAAATTATTACTTAATATATAAATGTATAAAAAAAATTTAAAACTGACTAATTTTTTTAATATAAATTGGGTGAGGAAGTAGGCAAAATAAAGCAACTTGCACAAAACCAGATTTATTGTCCCTATAAATTTCTCAAGACATGAATGAGATAGACACAACTACAATATCCAGCAACATAATATAGCAAAATGGATTGCAAGATTTCCTCAACAAAGTTGGCTTGTATTGTTGCTTATTTACTTTTTGCATGCTGTAAGTAATTTTTTTTTTTACTTCTTTCTCATGTGTGTATCTTGTAAGTGATAGTATATACTTCCTATATCTCATATGTACTATTATATATTTCTTTTGTTTCAATTAGTTTGTCTGATAATATAACTTAATATATAGATTAAAAAGTAAAATAAAAATAAAAATTGTGGTCTTTACACTATATAGATATGTGAAATTTATCAAAATGTCATTTAATATTATGGTCTTAAAGATGTAACATAAAAAGTTAGAACTGTGATTGTTTTGTTTGAAGACAAGTTATGTTAGGATTAATCATGTTGGGAAAAATTATGATGAAATTAGTTATGTTGCGATTATTTTTTAGAGCAACTTTCACATATAACAAACATAAAAATCATAGTTGTATGTTATAATTATAGTTTGCATAATTGCGCTGCATAGCAAACATAAATATGTATATTTCGCTATACATATACAGAAGAAAGCAGTTGTATGATTTGCTTTGGTATACATATACAAAATATCAATTGTATAATCTGTGTTTGTATAAAGCGAGAAAGAGAGAATGACAAAAGAAAACTGGGCAGGGGAAGATCGCATTTGTATAATCAGAATTTTTGACCAAAGTAAGCTATTATAAAAATCAATTTACTAAAATAATACGTTTTTTAAAATTTTTACAAAACTAGTATAAACGTAGTTCACAGTAACGTTTTATGTTATATTTTATTCAAAAAAGTTGAATAACAAAAAGACAAAAATCTGATAGAGTAAACAGACATAAAGCATTATTGTCAGTAACGTTTTATAATTCGTTATTCTGAGGCACATTTTACAGCTAAAATGTGACTCATAGCTAAAAGGAATTAATTGATGTTGTAGTAAAGTTGTAATCATTCAACTTTATTAAACTTTCCAATATTAAAATGAATATATAAATTTCTCTTTTCTTCTCTTTTCATACATAGATAATACTTTTGCAAGGAAAATAAGTTGTGAGGAGGCTTTACTACAACATCAATTAATTCCTTTGTCTCTTCTATTATGATGTAGCCATTATATTTTTTTTAATAGTTGATTTGCTTACTTATTACATCAATTTTAATTCAATAACTTCTTTATTGATAGTCTAATATTTAATAATGATAAGAAACCGATTGGTCTAATAATTGGAAGGGATGCTATCTTAGACTTGAATTAAGAAGATCTCTCATATGATTTATTTACAAATTTTGAAATTGAAATGATATAAGACAAGCTCCAATTTGTGTAAAGTCATCCTCATTTTTTTTTCCTTTTGTATAAAAAAATGTATTGTCTATATGAAAAGAGAAAGAAAAGAGAAAATCATATATATTTCAAATGAAGGTATGTACAAAATATATCTATCCATTTTAATAGTGGAAATTTGAATAATGAATGAGAGATGTACAAGATTGGATTTCAATTTTCACCATTGAGAAACGTTACTGTGAGTTACGTTTTAGCTGTAAAACGTGCTTCAGAGTAACGAATTATATAACGTTACTGACAATAACGTTTTATGTCTGTTTACTCTGTCAAATTTTTGTCTTTTTGTTATTCAATTTTTTGAATAAAATATAACCTAAAACATTACTGTGAACTACATTTATACTAGTTTTGTAAGATTTTAAAAAAACGTATTATTTTGGTAAATTGATTTTTATAATAGCTTACTTTGGTAAAAAATTCGTATAATCATAAGTGTATAGGATGAAAATATATGCATTTGTATTTGTATATACAATTTTCTCTCGCTTTATACAAACACAAAAGCAATGTATACATTTGTGTTTGTATAAAGTGAGAGAGGCGAGTGAGCAAGCGAGATCTGGGAGAGTGGCAAGCGAGGGGAACAAAAATATATGTATATATACAATTTTCTCTCGCTTTATACAAACAAACACATTTTATACATTTGCGTTTTTGTATAAAGTTAGAGAGGCGAGTGAGCGAGCAAGATTTGGGAGAGTGGCGAGCGAGATCTGGGAGAGGGGAGAGAGGGGAACAAAAATATATGTATATATACAATTTTCTCTCGCTTTATACAAACACAAACACATTTTATACATTTGCGTTTGTATAAAAGCGAGAGAGGAAAGGGAGAGAACAAGAGTGGCGAGCAAGATTCACCAGGAGAGAGGCGAAATAGCAACAGTTTGCTATAGGGTACAATTAAATCAAACTATGGTTATATCATTTAATTTGAACTAATAGTTTGCTATTATATACAATTTTCCCTATTTTTTATTGGTAGTTTGGTTTGTCAAATATGCATGGCATAAATTCTAAAAATTAGTCGTTTTTGATTTACAAATATACCCTCTAAGAATAAGTTAGTTGTTTATAAAAGAGGTTTAAGGGGATACTTTTGTTATTTTACATTTTTATCACAGGATAAGTTATCTCGAAATTAGTATTCTATCCACAAGTAGGGATAACTATTAATCCCAGTCATAATTATTAATCTTGAAATAAGTTATCCCACACTTTGTAACTAACAAAGAATTAAGGGGTACTAAAAACTTATCTCGAGATTATTTTTCTTTATCCATCATACCAAATGTTGTAAATAGAAAAGAGATATTCTTTTTTAAACCGATTAAAAAGAAAAGTTAGACAAACAAATTTAAATTTATGAAGTAATACTTATTAGTCCACTTAAAAATGATTCTTTTTTTACAAAAATAGTTTAATTTTAAACTTCTCCTTTGTTTTTAGAAAATTTCATCACAAGTTTAAGACTACAAATTCATAAAGTTTTTCTCTCTTCTCAATTTCGTATCTAATTAAACTATGTCACGTAAATTAAAATACGTGTGTTACTCTCCAATATGCAGTTTTCCAACTTCTTACGGCAAACGAGGAGGTCAAGTTAAATGATGAGTTAAAAGTTATACAACTTCCAGAGGCAAAGTCAGAAGCACTCGATGGTGTGTTTCAAGTGTTTGTAACTAGATATGGTATGATTAATATTGTCTTTAAAGTATTTTATTCCAAATTCGTATACATTTAATCAGAATCGGTTTCAAAATTTAAGTTTATGAATTTTTATAACAACTTCACAACTAGATTCATAATCAAATACTTATAATATCTAGTAAAATTTTAAAATATATACAAAATCTAGATCAGAACTACTGAATTTACGTGAATCCTTCAATAACATTGTTATAATTAGTTCTTTTATTTTTTTGCAGATCGACAACATGTTGGTTCAAAAAAAATTGGTGTATGTATCGACCCACCTCCTTGTGGATCTGATAGTGAGTGTGCTAACTCAGGTTGTGGCCACAGATGTTTGAGGGATGGCTGGGGCTTTCGTGTCTGTCACATCTAAAATTGTATTCCATGGCATTGAACTCTTATGGTTTTTCTTATGAGAATAAAATTGTTTGTATTTGAAAGTTTGTAATCGCAAGTATTTAATTATAAATGGAATATGGAGATTTTCGATTTATCAATACAACATCTTAATTACAATATTGTTTATAAAAAAAAAAATGATTCAGCTAAATTTGGATGAGGTCAAGAACGCGCGTCTTAGCTCAACTCATTAGATTTAGTTATTAGTAGTTGAATATTGTGATATTTGTAACACAAAATAATGGCTTCGGTGCGGGGTCCATTCAATTATAAGACCACTAAGACTATCTCCACCCCACCTCTATTTTACTCTCTATTCTCTATATTTAGAGAGTAAAATAGAGAATGAGCTCTCCAACCGCACTTGTTTTCATTCTTTATTCTCCATTTATAGAGAGTTGAATAGTAGTTTCAACTCTCTATTTCACTTTGTGATTATTTTATTATTATTTCTATTATCTTATAATTAACACATTATTTTTCATATAAGACCATTAATTAAATATTTAATATACGTAATTCTTTTTAAATGTAATATAATATTTTGAAAAATATATTATTTAATATATACTATTTTCATCTCAAATTAATAATATTTTGTTTTAAAAAAAAATTCGTCACTTTAATATGATTTGATATTATTATTAATTGCCACTATGATGAATGCACAAATTAAAATGATAAGTTGAAAATTTTCATTTAAAAATACAATATATAACATAATAATTTAAATACGAGATAACACAATACATAACATAATAATTTATCACAACAGTTTTGGTTGCAATTTATGTCCACTACTTTGTATATTATATAATATTTATTTGCAATTTATGTTATTTAGAAATTTAGAATAAAAATAAAATTTTAAATTAAATAAAAAAATTGAAAAAGTAAAATTTATATTACATCTGAATTATACAAAGTGATTATTTGAAAAAAAGAAAAGAAAATTATATTATGAAATAAGAAAATAAGAATGAAATAGAAATAATAATATAATATTGAGGAGAGAAAAAAGAATCCCTTTTAGAGAGTAAAATAGAGAATTGGGTTGGAGTTGATTGTCTGAGAAAATAGAGACCTCTATATTTGGAGAGTAAAATAGAGAGTAGGGTTGGAGATGCCCAAGTAATGATTGGTGCTTCAATTTTTTCTAAAGATGTATTCTATATGTAAATTGTTAAAAAAACTAGGTTAAGTTTGGAAAGAGAAATGCAATAGTTTTTTTAGGTAATTATAGTATCATTTCTTATGTGGTTATCTTTTTGTTGCCTCATTTATATCGTGGCAATTAACATGAACTATTATTTTTTTATATTTATTTTTCATTTTTCTTTCACTATTTTATTATCTTAGTATTGAATATTTTGAAGTCTCCCAAATGATAAGACATATTAAATTACGATAAAATCTATTGTCCTTTGTCTACAAAAAAAACAAACTTAGTTTTTTAAGTCTTCTTTTAATTTCATTCATCGCTACAAGTCAACATTATTTCAATATCATTATATCAACTTATAAAATTCAATGCAACACTATTTCAAAGTCATTATATCAACTTTTCAAATTTTTGAGGAAGACTTTGTTATTTTAACTTAATATTATATTTTCATTAAAAATTATATTGTTTATATTCTTGCTTTATAAGATTTGCGTATATTTTACCTCTCCAAATCTCACTTGTAGAATTACTAATTATGTTATTATTGTTATTCAATTTATATTCCACAAGAAGAAAAAAGTTAAGCTCTCTATGTGAATTTGACTTTAAACTTTCAATCTTATTGAAATGGCACTGCTTCTATGTGCTTGTGGGAATATAGACAAACCTGATAAGCCCTCTTATACTGAATGAATACTTTTTTTTTTTTACCACGTAGTGGTATATAGGGATGTCAAAATCAAACTCAATTCGCCTAAGTTGCTCAATTCATTCAAGTTTGAGTGGATTATTGACTTACCAAATTATTAGGTGGATCCATTTCAACCATTAAAAAATAGATTGATATATAATTTAAATTAACTCATGAGAAATCTTGTCAAAATATTTTTTATTTAATATGTTATATATAGTCATAAAAAAATAATAATTTTATGAGCTACTAAATTTTTTTTTATAAACGAACAAGTAAAGTAATTAAAATGTAATATGAATTGAGCAAGTTGAGTTATGACGTGTATTTTAGCCCATTTCAATCTAACTCGTGAAATTACATAGACGTTTAGTTATGAAAATAAAAAAATAATTACTTTATTTGAAAATTTTGAAGTTGAAGTTGTATTTGAACTATACTTTTTACAAAGAATATTTAGTATTTGAATATATTTTGTCTGAATATGACTTAATCCCTCAATTTCTAAAAATTAGAAAATCATCCAACTTGACTAGCTTAACCATGTGTACATATATTCATTCGACTTGACACATTTTTTGTTGGTGGCTTGAGTTTCTTAAAAAAATAGACAGAAGGATGAATCTTACCCTAGGGTTTCTAGTGACTCCTACTTAGGCAGCAGCTGCGTAGCTATCATGGCTGCTACGGCCACTGGACGGCCTCCTTTCGAGGTTGTCCAGCCCTCCCCACCACCCCAAACCACCACATACGCCACCCTTTTCAATTCAAATACTATAAATCCTAAGCAATCTGCCCTAATTAACTAAAAAACAATCGTAAAATCAATCGAAATAATTCATGGAGAACCTACTATCACATTTTCAATGGAGGAAAGGCGAGACTTTATGATCGAAGAGGGATTACATCAAGCAGTGGTGTTTAAATTATCCCATGGTGAGTCAGATTTGAAGGTATTAAGGCCAATTTTACCGAAACATCTTGGTACCAAGGGCAATTGTTTAGTTGGCTTACTTGCTCCAAGACAAATTTTGTTTAGGTTTGATCAATATGAAGATTATGTACTATCTTTATCTCGCTCAATTAATTATCTTCTCTACAATGGAGAGGAGGGTTTTTCCATGGTCCATTGGATATAGCCCTAAGGAGGAAACGACGTTAGTTATGGTTTGGATTTCTTTACCGAACTTATCTCCAAATTTATTTGCAAAGAAGTCTCTGTTGTCTATAGCATCAATAGTTGGGAAACCAATAGTTATAGATAAAGCTACTCAAATCAAGTCAAGACCTAGCATGACCAGGGTCAAGGTTATACTTGATCTAATGGAAAAGCTTCCAAATCGTATAAGGTTGCAGTTTGTGGATGGAAAATCTAGTAAGTTGATTGAAGTTTTTCAGGAGATTGTATATGATAATCTACCTTTGTATTGCAATTATTGTAAGCACCAAGGTCATGATGAAGATAGTTGTCGTTTGATCTAAAAAAGAAATCAAAATAACAAACAAATTGATGATACCATTGAAGTTGCTTTAAAAGGTACTACCAATATTGAAAAGTATCAAGGCGATGCGAGAGAAATATTAAATAAAAAAGAAAGACTATAGATGTTGATCAATCTAAAGCTACTTCTTTAGATCGACAATTGGTTGCTTCCACTTCCGAGCAAAATCATGTAGACTCAGTGGATGTTAATACAAGTAATATTGGTATTCAAACAACTACCGAAAACAAAGTTGATTGCAATAACCAACATGCTGCTACTAATGAGGTGCAATCAAAAGAAGTTGGGCTGAATTTGATGTCTAATGCAACTAAAAACATAGGGTGGACATCAAGAGTTGAGATTGATGTGCCACGAGTTGGTTCAGGGAAAAAATTAGTGGATTCAGGACAAAAACTAATGGATACATCTGATGTTGATGCTGAAAATTCTGGGGAACATGTTTTGCAAGTTGAAAATGAGAATCCAACTAAAAACTGGACACTGGTTGCACACAAAAAATCAACTAGTAGTCGGATCCTTCCCCGACTAGTCAAAATAATTCTCCATGTAGTAAAAAGGGTCCAACTGAGAATTTTCATGACAGTGAGAAGAGGCAAGATACTAGTAATGTCTCAAGAGACCAATTATGTTCGAATAACTTTGATGCTTTATTGAAGACTACTGGAAAGCAAGTAAGGTTAACATAGAATGACAACAATTTGATCCAAGAAAAACAAGTCTCACCACCTGCTTTGAATAGCAAATTAAGTCCAGAAGCTCTCGTATTTGTGCCTAAATGTATGCTTGCAAAGAAGAATGAGTCAAGAGCCTTAGTGTCAAATACAATTGATTTGGGTGAGGATTCTTTTGATGAAGATGGAGTGGATTTGGGTGAGGATTCTCTTGATGAAGATGAGGAAGACAATATGCTTTGATAGAGTGGCTAGGGAAGGGGATATATCACCTAGGCAACAAAGAAGTGGAAGCAACAAAAGCAAAAAGAAGACACATGGAAGGCAACATAGTTGGGACGGTAAATGACTGTGGAGTTTGTTCCAAGACACCAACCGATGCTACAGGCAAAGCAAAACCATTTGACAGTATCAATAAGTTCAACTACATCCAATAAATCCATAAAGAAGGTATGAATCATCAAGTGTTGTTGGATAGGTTTGAAGAAGAAGACAAGCGAAAAATACTTCAAGTTACTTTTGATGGGCAATCAATCTTTTTTAATTCATGCTTTTGTAATAAAAAGTTTGAGGTTGATAACTCAACTTTCTTCTTAATTGACATACTTTTACATTATTTAAGCATCATCATTTGTAATATCATCATGAAATGTATTACAAACTCTGTAATGATCAGAAAATACTTAATTCTCTCTAGCTCTTATTTTCTTCATACTTATTAGGTAGCAGAAGCTAGGTACTTCATTAGAATTAGTAAGATAAGGCCTAGCCCCCTGTGCTTGTACTTATCCCTATTGATATTTTTTATGCTGTTTAG